AGAATTTGATTTCTTCAATAGGTGATAGAGTACATTTATCAAAGTTTATTCTTACCCCAAAGCTTTCAAGAAAACAGCAGACACTGTGGCTAACTGAGTTAAGGTAACAAGAGCTTGTGTGGCAGAGGAGGAAGTCATCCCTATAAGAAAAAGTCCAAATACTGCAGTGATGAGATAGTTCAGCTGCGAGAGCAGTTGACAAAAGATGGAAGAGAAAAGGGCTGAGACCGGTATCATTGGAGCTTTCCGAAAATAGTAGACCAGTTTCCGTCAGAAACAGCAAGCTGCAGAGCAGAAGCAGGATTGAGAGGAAGACGATAAAAAGCGTGAGAAACATCCAGCGAAATCATGGGCATGTCCATTGGGCAAGATCTGTGCAAGTGCATGGTGGTTGGGTGCCCAGCAGCTTGGAAAGCACATAGCGTGTCTCCCTTTGGAAAACGGAGAGAAGTCCATCCCCGGTTGAGGCTCTTTAGTATTTCAAGGATTTTTGTCAACAAGAAAAACCCAGCCAGTAATCCTATTAGGACAAGGAGTATTTGGCCTAATTTATCTGACATCTTCTTCACTTTCCCCAACAGGAGGTATTGGCACTGGATCTGGTTCCTTTACCACTGCTGGCAGTGCCCAACTCACTGTTTGTGCCGAAGAATTTGTCGAAGCCGATGTGGGCCTTTTGAACACGGGAGTAGTCGGCAACAGAGCTCTGCCAGGATCTGCTCTGTTTCTTAGTTGATAAGCGCTGCTGGCTTTTACCCAATATTGCTGCTCTTCTAGAAATTTCTTTTTCAATGCCTCTGCCTCTTCTTCCGTGACTGGCGGAGGAGCAACCTGATTGCCAGGAGTGAGGCCCATTTTCTTTAATTCCTCCATTTCTGTTTTCCAATAATATGGCGTTAGGTCTGGTCCATTCAGGCTGAAGGGATATTGTGTTGGTACCCACGGATTAATTCCTGAGATAGGCATTGTTTGACCCATTCTTTGTAAAGTAACTTCTGCACCCTCGGCTCAAATTGTACTGGACCTTTGTCCTTCTCCCATGTAGTTTGGAGACAAGGAATGTTGCTCCCACTGAAACACTTTGCCTCTAAATGAAACACACTGCTTTGACTCTCTTCTATATAGAATTCCTGCCTTGAATAATTTTTTGTAAATACAGTTTAGTTAACGATAAATGTTCCGTTTCAAAGCCAGGATACTTATTAACTTTTACACCACATTCAACAGGATAGTATGAAATGCCCTTTGGCCAGAATTGGCTGGGGTCAAATATTTCCATGTCCTGGCAGGAGTGTCCTTTATTAATTCAAGAGAAAAATTTGTTTCTGTAAGATCAGATATTTGTCGGTTTATATTAAAATCATAAATATGACTAGAATATAAACCTTTTAGCTTTCCAGCGTATGCTTGACCTTAACAGTTTGGGGAAGGAGATTGTGCTCTATGGGGTGTGGAGGCTCTTGAGAAACCTGATCCATTATGTGGTTCATGGGAGCCCACATAAGATCGTGGAGTCCCATATACTGTCCTGCTGTGCACAACTCTCCTTCTAATGGAAGGATTTCTCCTTGTTGATCTAGCTCTTCTTGCACCTACATGAGTTTGGTTTGGGCTTTGAGGTGCCACCCTGACTGGTGAAGTGATTGCTTCAATGGTTGGGGCATCTCTTGGTCCGTACTGAGAAGGAGTGGCCAACCACGTTCTTAATTTAGCCACGTATTCAGCTACCTTACCTTCTGCCCAAACTACAGATTGAACGTGCCACCACATTAACCTATGAGCCCTATGAATCGAAGTATAAGTCGACAAATTATAGGTGGCAAGGTGAATTCCAATTTGATTTTCATTTGGTAAGGTAGGAGCAACTTTACTTACATTTTCTCTAATGGTTTCAAATAATTTCTCAGGATCTCCCTAATTTTCAGAAAAATCTATATTCCCAGCTGGCTCCTCAGAGATCTTACACCTGTAGCCACCTTTTCTAAAGCTTGTATAAGCTCATGAAAATCCGTAAAATTAGTTGCAATAACAATATGTTTATTTTCTGAATCTCTTTGCAAATAAGGTTCTAATACATCTTTAGCAAAAGTAAGTAATTCAGGTACAGGTGGAAAGAAATCTGCAGATAGACTACGAACGTTTTGAAGAGCTATTCTAACAGTAGGATCCATATGCAGAGAGTCAATACAAATTGTTTCATTAAGACAAAGTACAGCAAGACAGCAACAGCAATAAACGATGCAATATATACGTTGTCGACAACCTTGGGAATTCAACTTTTGGAGAACAGAGATTACCTCCACAGTTTGCCTCTGAGCTGAGAAAGTGGTTGCATGTTCTACCTGTGCCGTTTGCAGAAGCCTCCTAACTACTGGTTCATCAAGCAGCAGTTTGGAGGCCCTTCATTTGAGCTAACGACTTCACTGTGCTTCTTATATTGGCCTTTTCAGGTAGCCACGGGACCATCCTTTCATATGGATCCACTTTAAGGGTGGAATGGGACATGAGTTATTGCACAAGTAAAAGAAACATGGAGGAGTAGTAATGATAACTAGCATATGTGTATTGCACAGTATGTGCTGGCCAGGAACCACAGCAGATTGCAGTGGACAGTTATGTCTTAAACTTCAAAGATCTAACAAATGGTAAAGGAGTAAGAATGGATACATGGAAGGAAACAGCTTAAAATAGTTTAGTTTTTTTTTTAATGCAACTTAACAGAGTGAAACAGGCAATGGAATCAGTGTCCTGCAACTAGTTCCATTCTGATGAAGTAATAACAAGTGCTTTGTTTGAGAATGCCTCTGTGAAAAAAGCAAGTTAATATTGGGTCAGTTTCGGCATGTCACTCAAGCTAATAACTTTCATCAATGTTGCCTGTTTCACAGCTGTTTGACTCAGGCTTGGTTTGAGTTAGCAGAAATTCAAACTAGGCACAAGAATACTTTTTTGTTATTGAAAAAATCTGCACAGCTAAAGAATTTGTACTGTTGGGAATAAAATTATGTATGGAATCATATAATAGCAATAATTCAGCACATTTACCTAAAACGGATTTGCAACAGATCAATAGTACACGCTGAAGTTTTAATACAGTATTAAAACCAGAAGATACTAACCTTGAGATTGGATAGACAGTTGTTGAGGAAAATATGCCATCTGTTTAAAAAGAACTGCTTCTGACTGACACAAAGCAGGCATGTTACCAAAGGGTACAAAGCCTAAACAGGAAAAGGATGTCGATACCGTATTATTTGCATGACTACACAACGTAAAAGTAACTTAATAGAGCTACTGTAAACTTAAGCTCTAACTCCTCCATTTTGTGCAATACATGTTAGCCAACATAAATACATTGTTAAGTAGTACAATTTAAAAGGAATCTTCCTCTAAAGCTATTACAGATATATTTTATGGATGAACTAAAAACAACCAAATGTCTACTTATAGCAGTATAATAAATCCAAAGATGGGCCACAATTTTACAGACTCACAGGGCTAATTTCTGTCAGTTAACTGAGAAATGATAGCATGGAAATAACTAAACTTTATTACAATAACAACAGGACCCACAGAGATTGTTGGGACTTGTGAAGGCTCAGATGCTTATTACTCCTCAAAATTGGCAGTCACAATATTTACTAGGAGACATGTTCAACACCCTAAAGAATTGTGTTAAAATACAGGCAATGCCTGGAACTGCTGGTAGTTACATCTTGCAAAGCGAAAAGTAAAAAGAAGCGAAGCAGAACATAGAAGTTCAAATACTGGAACCTGGTCTCTTTGTCAACACTTACTTTGACACTCCTCTTGTAAATGTTACACTAAAAAAAATAAGCTAAAATGCACCTATTAATTTTGAAACTGACTTTGCTATTTCAGCAAGACTATTCTGTTTCAGTTGTCATGTTAATATACCCAATCAGGACTTTAAAGTTATTAGTCAAAAATAAGGTAACTTTATCTTAAAGACCAATGATTCTCAAAATTAACCCTAAAATTCTTACTTCAGTCACAGGTCAAAGTACAAATACACCATAAACTCCAACTTCTGTTCCTGTAATATATAACATAAATTGTCTATAGCTAGGTTAGACCTAGTTTTGTGAGCAAATGGCAAATGTACATTAATTCTTATTTTTATAATCTTCACATCCAAAATACATATGGGAAAGGATAACTGAAGTCTTCTCACGGAAGACTTTCCTACCATATTAACATTATGACTATAATAGTTGAGTACTTGACAGGATCACAGAGTTTAGTAACATCCCAAGAGTGTTACAACCCATCCTAAGGAAGAGCCCTAGGAGGGAAGATACAAATCATCTCCTGGAGTTTCCTAATTCTCTCCATTCGTTATCAAGAGAACCTCAATGACTAGTTCAGACGAGACACTTTTAGATAGAAAATGAGGCAAGATGAATGCCCCCGTCCTGCCTATACAGTGAGTGCACCAATTCACAAAACACTGATCTTGGAAAGGAAGGTCCTCTTCAGACTCTAAACAGTGTGCTTTCTCCCTGGAAGCCTGAAAATATGCACTGCAGCTATTTCTGCCAACTGTTTGCCTTTCCCCTCCTCCTCCTTCTCGCAATGTTTGTATTTCTAATCACACCCTCACAAGAATCTATTTTGTCACTTTTAACTATGTAGTCTCCAGTGTGGTATGTGTAGACAAGCAATCAAACACAAAGCCCCAGCTGTGCAATCCTTTCTCAAGCACATAGTATTGACTTTGGCAAGTACGGCCACCAGTTTGGGGAAGTTCTATTTAGTGTAAAAACGGTACAGCAAAGCTCTTACCCTGCTGCTGCAGTTTCAACAATGTTTTATTAACTCAGCAGAGAGGAATAGAGCCACACAAACACAATCAGAGTGAAATCAGAAATCCATCCCGAGTCTTGCACTAATTCAAACTGGATCAGGTCTGTGCTCCAGGGGATGCGCTGACTCTCCCCTGGGACTGCGCGGGGACTGGTGTAACGGCAGCAGAGAGCTCAATACACTCCTGCAGTCTTCCCAGCAGATTCACTAGCACTAGTGACCAGCATTTGCCGAGAGCACTGGGAACACGGAAGTCTTTTTGACTTTCCCATAGAACGAGGGAGGATGAATGACAACTTTCTTTACTTACAAGGTCCAAGATTTCAAAACGGATTAGCTAATGCTGCAGTGCTGACGTGCGCTGACCCAGTTGGAGAGACAGACTGCTTAAGGCGGCCAGCGTGAAACTGACTCAGACCTTCATTTAATTCAGATCAACTCATGCTTCCAAAAATACACTGCAGTGCCACTGTTCATCTCACAAGAAAAAAATGAAATAGGGAGCTGCACAGTAGCCAAGTTACGGATTCAAAAGGGCATGTGTTATACATTTTTTTGTTCCTACAATGTATTATTTAAGCCCCGTGAAAGAGTTCCCACATGCCTCATTTGTTCTCGCTTGACAAGAAGTGAACTCTATTCTTTCTCCTCTCCTCCTAATGTTTACACATAACAAGTATGAGAAAACCTAACCGTTTAATAATCACACACTCAGAAGCTGAAAACATCTGTTTGATTCAGACTGATTTCGACCATATTCTGAATAAAATTAATATGGTTATTTTCTGCAAACACAATAACCTTCCCTGCAAATAGAAATGTATTGGTTATAAAGCCTAATGCAGAAAAAAGTTTTGCAACCAATTCTGGGAATTTCCCAAGAGGCTTGCTCAGAAATATTTCTGACAAAGAATTTGAGCCTCTGCTTCTTAGGGTTCTTACTAACCAATGAGTGCTTCTTTCGTGAGGAAAGTTCAAGTGTTGTATCATACAGGCTTTCAACAAAGTTCCTCAGACAGGGGACATTCACTTCATTTTTAACAGCCTGAAAGAAAATTTTATGTTAATAAAATACATTTGACAAGCTGTTTTATGTAATTTAAAGAAATTATGTGAACAACCTGAAAAATAAACTCACAGCAGCTACGGGGACAAGAATTTCAACAAACAGTCCTGCCAGTGCATGCTTGATATCTTTGTCTTTAACTTCAAGGAAATAATGTGCACATTCCTAAAACAAAACAAAACAAGAAACAGAAATTGTGTATCAGCTGGAATAAAGGCCTCTAAATGTTTGCTGAATGCACATGAAATGTCAGTGACTATTTTTATGTTGCAAATCCCACAGAAAACATTTGTCTATTAACTTCTGAATCTGCATTTTGCAGCAAGCACAAAGCAGGACGTAAGTTAAGATCAAGGATCTGTTACTCTAACCATGATAATCCACAAACTCTCCACTGATTCCAGCTGTGCCCGGTGGTGTTCTGGGGATGGAAAGGGAGTTGGACTCAGGAGTTGACCTCATGCCTTCCCTGTGCATACTTTCAGGAGCAGAAGTAATAGCCCACATGGACTGCTTTACACAGTGCTCTGGGAGGCCAAAAAAGGAACTTACTTCTCTGGTAAGATACTCAAGGGAAGGAAGAATCTTACTGTAAATATTTTGGATAAATTTCACTGGTAGGATCCATTGCAGATTAAGCATCAATACAGAACTGTGCTATGTGAGGGAAGAGACCTGTGGTGCAAACTACCACAATTTCCAGCCTGCAATTGGGGATTGAGAGAGAAAGGTAAAATGTTCTTCTGTCCTAAACATGCAGCAAGCTTCTAGCCACACAGCTCTGCTACTCAGGAAGTGAGGGAGGGGAAATAAGCATCCACCCACTCTTGTGTTTCTGTACAACTTCTCTGAGGATGACAAATCATGTTGCTCCAGTTACTTCTTCCTCTCTGGGTCCAAGGCCCAAACAGCCACTGACGTTACAAGGATTTTCCCCACGGACCTTTTTTCCTGCACATGCATGCAGAGCAGTTTACACTTTGGACCACGCATATTTTTTCCTGGCTGCAATCAGGATTCTACAACAAATGGCTTCAGTCACTCCGGCCATTTCTGGTACACAGCTGAGGCCCCTATGCAACGACAGTAGCCGTCCTGGGCTGCTTCTGCACTCCGTGGTGGAAGACAGGCTTTTCTGGAGCTCACTCCTGAGATTAGCTCACCCTTTGAAAGTGTCTCTACTAGAGCAGAGCTGGTGTGACAGAGCTTGTAGCTGAGGCACTGTATGTAGATACTCTGACTAACAGACGAATCGCCCACAGAATCAAACTGTAAGTGTATTTCACCAAACTGAGCAAAACTGGTTTTCCTGCATACGCAGTGCATCTTATGATGCATTGTAGTATATACAAGAATTAATTTGGTGCTGTGATACTGTAGTTATCAGCTGGATAGCAAGGTAGAGATCATTTGCATCCAAATTTTGAGTCTACTAAATGGGAGCTTTGCCACTGGTTTCAATACCAGTGAACACTGGATCCCAGCAGTGCTGTGCCATAAAGCTGTGCCACAAAGTCATTCACTCATATTAGTCGTGAACACACACTAGTTTGATATCTTGCCAGCTCTGGATAACTTACATTAAGTCAACACATACTAAGATGTGTTCATATAATGAAGCGTAAGGTAAGAACAAAAATGACCTGTTTCCTTGTTATTAAATATGTTTTAAATACGTTGTTAAATATGGTTTAAAACACATTGCAAAATTGAAATAGACTGTGATTCCTGTTCAGAACTTAGAGAAATGGCTCTGTGTGTCTGCACGGATGTGTATTTGTATTCCAATGTCAAATCCTTACTTGTGGGCATCTAACATTGATTTTTTACTCCACTGACACCATCAATAAGCCAATCTTTATGTGGAGGTTTACATAAAACGTGTATTTTACTGGATGACTGGTTACAAACTATGTAGCCATGAGGGTGATCCCAAGAAAAAACAGGAATAAAAAGGTTAAGCTAAATAAACCTGCTGATGGAACAGAACCCATTGTATATTACCAACAAGAAATGTGGCCTTTTAAAAATGTTTAAACATAAAAGATTTTCTTTCCTTTTACAAAATCATGCAATTTGTTAATTTAAAGCATTTATGATAGTCAAACTATGCTCTGTACTAGTGGCTCTCAAACCAGCTGGGTACAGAATGCACTCTACAGGAAGCGGGGTGAAGGTGTGGTGGAAGGACACAATGCATCCAAGGCAAATTCCACCCAGCTTTTGCCTCAACTCTTTGCCTCTTTCTCTGTGTTTTTGTCCATCAGAAGGTCCTCTCCTCTCTGGCAACTATGTCAAGGGTGGAAGATTTATTTTGGAGGCAGTGAGCAGCTGGGGAGACATAGCTAGGCAGGGACACAGGGCAAGGAACAGCTGCGCGATGGCACGGTGGAAGGTCTGGGGTCTACAGAACGAAAACTCTTTTTGTTGGAGGGTGAGATGTGGGGATTAGGGGTATAAGGCTGATGAAAAGTCGGTATGGAATGATGCACTCCAGAGACTGGAGACTGGAGTGCTGAGGTTCAGAACAAACAGAAAGTAGCTGCGCATACATTTATATGGGAATGACATGTGGAAAATATCCTGGTGTATTACAGGAGAGATGCAGGGGAGCCCATTCTAAAAGGTCTGGGAACCACAGTTATATACTTAGGAATTTTACCTGCATAAACTGAAGAGAAGCTTCAAAGTCCTCCACAGGATACATCTTAATGCGAAAGAATTTCATTCCCATTATAAGACTGATAATACTTTGAACTATATATGGGCTTTGCTCTTTATGCCGTAACTCTTTTAACTCCGCCATGAATTTCTTCTTTACAGCAGGAAATCTATGAATTCACGTTGGTTAGTTACAAAAAAGTATAGATTCATATTTGAAATATATTGTAAGGTATATAAATGGGGAAAAACCTAAAGAAGATTCAACCTTGGTCAGTGTGTGAAGAGATTTCTTTTTGCTTGGTTTTCTTTCACTTCTGATAAACTCAGAAAAGAAAACGAAGGGTACAGCCTGATCTTAGGCCCTCTGCATAACCACATCTTTCCAATTATTTTCTTACCATGCCCCTTTTTTACATAAGAGCTAACAGTATCATTAGAATAACCCACTCACATGTTTTTCAAAAATCCAAGATGAAAGATAGTTTTCTTGCAAGTACATGCAATGTTTTTAAATGCTTAAATGATAACCATGAAAATATTCAGATAGGCTATTCCTCCCTTCAGGTTTTTTATGTAGCCATTACAGTAACACTTAAGCATTAACTACAATAATTTGGGATGGGGTGGTCTGCGACCATTTTTGATCTTCCCCATGATTTTATTGGAGATGTCTTTTGAGACAATATGTCCACAAAAAATAACATATAGGAAGATCATCCAACAGGATCTCCTGTCCTTTTTGAGACAAAATGAAAAGAATATAATTTTCATGGGCAGGTGTAGCACGTAACAACCTGTTGTTACTACCTCTGATAGGGAACACAGGATAGTTGAAAAAAACAGGTTGGCAGGAAGAAGCCCTCCAGTGGTAGTAACATCTTAGCAAGACCCTTCAGAATTGGAGGAGAGGAACTATTTATGGAGAACAGGTATGTTTTGTCTTTGACAGTCAACTTGAAGCTTTGGATCCAGACGTCACTTCCCCTTTTGCCTTCGACCCAGCCAATTTAGAAGCCCGGGTCTTAGCTGAAGTCTGTGAAAGTCATATGATTTCCAGGAACTCAAACTGGTTTGCCTACATGAAGCTCAAAAAATAATTTTGGTTAAGTTGATTGGTCTTGTAGAACAGACTCACTCTCAGCAACACTAAGAAGTCAGGAGACAGAGATCACTGACATGGATCTATGTTGGGGCAGTGAATTTCAGTCTTCTGCTTAGTTTGTGCGATAAGCGTGTCACAAGACATTATATCGGGTACATGAATTTCTGAATATATCTGCTTCCATATTCAAAATTTAAGACCGGATTCCACAAAGTGTTTTCTGTCTTTACTGCGCCATCTGCGCTAAGAAGTGCAGGATGAAGGATTTAGAAGCAGTTGCATTAAGTTCTAAACTGAAATAACTGCAGAGAAACTTTAAAATGCTGCTATGCTGCAGTATAGCCATTTTTAGGTTTGCCCAGATACAGAAAAAATAGCATATAGAAAAAAGATTAATTAAAATAGCTCTCTTCAGCCCTTTGGGCTTTCCACAGATGTCATCGCTGAGATAAGAAAAATAATGCTAGTAGTCCAATAGTAGTTTGAATAAATTCAGCTGTAGTCTAGTTGAATTTATTCAGTATCACTGGACTAGATCCAGAAAGCCTGTGATTCCCTAAAGTTCTATGCTCTAGAACACCTGGATGAACAGAGGGCCAGTGAGCTGAATGATTTATTCCTACACTACCTTTTAAAAAAGTGAGAAAATAAGAATATTCATACGCTAAGCAAGTAAAACTACTCAGATTTCCATTATGTATGATATTCAATTTTACTTACTTTGCTTGAGCTAGAACACCTATTACTTCTGCATACAAATCTGCAACAATGTGCATATTTCCAGTGTTAGGACCAAGGTACCTAGTAAGAGACAAGCAAGAATTCTTGGCTGAGAAAGCATCCTGCTTAAACCACTACAATTAAAAAATTCAGCAAATAATTTTTTTCATAGAATTTTTGTGTGAAAAAGAGCCTTACCCTTCTTTGTATTTAAAGTGCTTGAAAGCCAAGTTAATAACATCATGTACCAAACTGTCTATTACAGGATGAAGTGGAATCTGAAAACACAAAGTAAAATGTAACTGGTATGCATATATTACACTTCAAGCTGCATACCTTAGTGCTTGTATTACTCCTGGGTTAAATACGGTATCAGCTGACATAGCATCTAGCTAACAAAACAGCTGAAATGAGCCAGCCATTTAAAGTTTATTTAGTATTGAAGAGAAATAAATACTTTAGCTCTAAAGACTTGGCAAAGGCTGTAGAGCTGTATTCTGTAGAGCACAGAATACTATGTATCCTACAGGTGCAAGAAAGACAGCAATAAATAAGCATGCAGGATGTATCTCATGTTTTTATTAGACTCTTAAAGACAGAAATAGAAAGAAGAATCCTAAAATTAGGTTGTATTGGTAATTTCCATCATTTATTAGTTAATGAATAATTTAAGAACTCCATACCTGTTTCAAAACTTCTATTAATACTAAAGAAAAAATAAAATCAATAGCCAGATCTCTTCTCTCCATTAAATAATCCCTCTGCTGTTCATCACTGCAAAATCAAAACAGGAAACACAGTATTTCTGAGATGTGTCATAATTCATATTATATGCCTTCCTCTATTACACAAATACAGATAACAGGGGATTGTGTTCTACTTTTTAAACTGCATTTCAGAAAGTAATGCACTGATATGCTTTTAAAATCTGAGATAAATAGACCAAATCTAACTTGTTACTCTCACCTTCTTTCAAATGTTTAAATGTTGCTCTCCATTTCCTCCATCTTTTTTTTCAGTTTAAGATCAAAACAAAACTTTCTCAAGAAAGAAAACGAAACAAAAACAAGGAAACTTTTGGATTCTGTATTCTAACACATGGATTTCATTTCAATTTCCTTGCAACATTTAGACAGTTCTCAATTACACTTTGGAGACAAACATAATAAATTATTTCGTGCTATCAAATTCATATTTAGACTCGTGATGGATTCCGAAAAATGTCTTAAAAGTACAGATAGAGAATTCATAACTAAATTACAGTCTCTTTTTAAAACTGTTCCAGTGCTAGTTTTTAAACTTTGGCATCACTTTTCAAACGTTCAAATACAATCCTTGTGCAGAACAACACAGAGGAATAAATGTCTGAGGTGAGTAGCTTGGAATACAAATACAAAAAATATCCATTTGGATCACCTGATCACAGTTTCAAAATGTACTGAAAAGATGAAATATACAACACTTTTTAAAAATTAAACATTAAAGGGACAGTTCTGCAGTCCGTTTGAAGCAGTTACCACTGATTTCAGTGAGATTTTTGTTCGCATAAATTCAGCACAATTCTTATAAACATTAAGAACTTTACTGATTTCAGTTGTACTTATGTGCTTATAATAAAATATACATTTAAGAGTTCTGCTTGATCAGCGATTAAATAAATTATCCGCATTTTGGTTTTCTTGGTGGAAATAACTGGAAAAAGGACTGGTTATATGTTCTTTCTGTAACACTATCAACTGACAGAGTGGCCTTGGTTCACTGCTAAGCTGACTTTCAACTAGATTTTGGGTAGAGTTCCTGAAAACATCTATTTGTGTACCGGTGGTCTTGTAACAAGTTGAGAGAAAGAGGCACTTCAAGGCAAGGATTCATCTCATGCAAAAGCAGACATCTAACTGATGAATCGTGCCATCGTATTGCCTACTTCCACTGACTTAAGGAGTCTGGAAGAGTCTGATTCAGGTTCATGTCTACCTTGATATTTTAAAACTAGCTCCTACCCCTTCATTCCAGCAACTATTGCCTTCAATAGTTACTGGATTATAATGTAATCCTAATGTGAAGAATTGCCTATGCATTTCCAAACACTAGGTCTGCCAGTGTTGATTCTCCTGCTGCTTCATTGAAGTGTGTACATGTAATACCAAAGTATTCAGAAAAACTGTACATTTGAAGAATATACCTGTACCAAACCTCCATCCTCAATATAAACCAAGAGCAATCTCTTGCCTTATCACTGAGGAACTACTGATACCATAAGAGATCAATATATTTGTTTTGGGGTCTTTATTTTTGTTCGTTTGTTTGTTTTAAGAGCTAAGTCAATGCTGCTAAAGCTCTTCTGACTGATTCACAATTTTTTGGATTGAGGATAGGTGTATGTGAAATTTCTACAACTAAGCAGAATGCTGTATAAAAAAAATCCTTCCAAGAGTCACAGAATTATTGCCCACTCACATGAGTAAAGAAGACAGACACAGTTTATACAAACCAATAGTTACATGACACTACAGCTTCCAAAACAGCAGTAAGAAACAGTGTTTGAACTATCAGGAGCATAATTTTAAAGACACAATTACTCCATCCATCCAGAAGCTGAGAGAAAAGTTCCAGAAACAAGCAAAAAAACAACTTTCAAACAACTGTAACCTCACAAGAGCTGATGGGCAAAATGTAATACATTTTACCTTAGAATCTGTCAATAATGCATGTATGCATACTCAAAATCATACCTTTTGGATTTAGTACTTGTTCTTGGTCTGTACTCATGAGATTCATCTTCTATGCCATTCTGTCTTTTATACCAATCAAACAAAGTGCGCAGGATAGAGGGTAGACAGTATTCTGAAAGTGAGCTCATTGAGCTTATTACCTATGGGGAAAATAGAACAAATCAACAAATCAACTGGTGTTCAAGTTTCCCCTCCTCCTTAAAAAAAAAGTACTAATTCAATCGTTAGGCATGTTCTTTCTTGTTTTCATCTCATTTTTGAGATCCATGGTACAAGCAGTGACCTAATATTCTGCATTTCCTGTTGAAACATAAGCAGAAATACAATAATGGGCTGTATGCCGATACTGTCTTTCCATTGATGATACTAAAACGCATTAAAATTGTGTATCATCCTACAACACACCAGAAAACGAACTAGTTCTTCAAGGAGCTTATTTTTATTTGTTACACAATGTTGATTTGAGTTTGAGCACATTATAAGGACAGAAAAAGTGATGAACCAGAGGTACTGTCTCATAGAATCATAGAATCATTAAGGTTGGAAAAGACCTCTAAGATCATCGAGTCCAACCGTCAACCCAACACCACCATGCCCACTAAACCACGTCCCTAAGCGCCTCATCTACACGTCTTTTAAATACTTCCAGGGATGGTGACTCCACCACTTCCCTGGGCAGCCTGTTCCAAGGCCTGACCACTCTTTCAGTGAAGAAATTTTTCCTAATGTCCAATCTAAACCTCCCTTGGCGCAACTTGAGGCCATTTCCTCTTGTCCTATCACTTGTTACTTGGCAGAAGAGACCAAAACCCACCTACCCTACCTTTCAAGTAGCTGTAGACAGTGATAAGGTCTCCCCTCAGCCTCCTCTTCTCCAGACTAAACAACCCCAGTTCCCTCAGCCGCTCCTCATAAGACTTGTGCTCCAGACCCTTCACCAGCTTCGTTGCCCTTCTCCGGATACGCTCCAATTTCAATGTCCTTCTTGTAGTGAGGGGCCCAAAACTGAACACAGGATTCGAGGTGCGGCCTCACCAGGGCCGAGTACAGGGGCAGGACCACCTCCCTACTCCTGCTGGCCACACTATTTCTGATACAGGCCAGGATGCCGTTGGCCTTCTTGGCCACCTGGGCACACTGCCGGCTCATGTTCAGCCGGCTGTCAATCAGCACCCCCAGGTCCTTTTCCTCATGGGATGTATCTGACTGCTGGATGCCCCTCCTGAAGCTCAGAATGTATTGACAATCCCCACAAGCTCTGCAATAATCTTAACCAACTGAATGTGCAGATGCATCCATCCTACTATAATTAGGCTGACACACCTGATGATAACTTAGACTTCTCTTTATATATAGGAAAATGTTTACAGTTTCCCCTGTCTTTGTGTGCACAAATAAGTAAAACAAAGTTTAAAATTATTCCTTTAAAGTTCCTGATTAAACAGGTCTATTGGCATACTGGAAAAGAAGATTACTGTTCACTCAGTATAAACTGTGTCACCAATTACAGAAACGTTACAGAACATGTTACTACTGAACTATGACTTAAACTTCCTATTGCAGGAAACCATAAAGCTGCAAAACATGAAAAGATCAAAAGCTAGGGTGAAAAAAAGACCCATTATTATACAAGAGGATTATATATGTATTGCAACTGAATATTTACAGCTACTTCGTTTGTGTACATTCGAAGAAAATAGAAAACCGCTATTTAAAATAGGAATAAATTACTGATCTGGAGATTTGTGACCACGTCAAGATCATGCAGGGCTTGATCCTGCGAAGTGCTGAGTAGCAGGAGCGAAATGCTGAAGTATGTACTTCATGTCAAGTACACTGATTAGATCATTAACTCTGTCAGGTTTATCTACCTGCTTAAACTTAAACCAGCACGTTTCAGTGCTTGTGGAACAACAACAGTAGAGTTTAATGTCTCGTATAAGACCAAGCTTGTGTGAAGTCTGAGACTAAGACAAGAGCAAAACTGGGAGACCGAGCACCCTACATACAATTCCCAAACACTGCTAAAGCCTTAGATGACAACTTTTGTGGATGACAGTTAGTTTAGATCAGTAACTCTGATCTCTTTTGCAGCTTTTCAGCCTCAGAATTTAAATAATTCACAGTGATGTTGTGGTCTAAAGTTAATGAGCATAAAGTATTATTGTTTTGATTGGATTCAGGTATTATGGCCTAAAGTTAAACATAGAGCATTAGAAAGCTATAACAACTGCCCCTGTAAAAATAAAAGTTTCTGTAAAAGTACTATTTTAGGAAAGCTTTCAATCCAGTGTTTCCAGTATGTTTTATTACCTGAAATATGAAACAAGTTGCTGTGGAAGATGGCATGAAGGCACTGCTTGCAGCAGTGACAGGAGGCCTTTCATGAAGAATTACTATAGCAGCCTAGGCTCAATTATACCAAAGCCTTCAAGCATAAGACTTCAGATAAATACTTAGAATACATAAATCACCTAGTGTCAGTGCAAACTATTCACTACCAACTCAGAGCGCTTAGACATTTCTATCACTTCTCTGTTGTTTTCCAAAAGTTTTTCTGAAGCTGGCATAACACCAGTTGTTAAATATGAGATGCAGTGAAAAAGCGTTTGCTGGGAAAGGCTAGAATAGACCTAAATATCTTTTAAGAGATCACAATATTTAACTATAAGTGAAAAGTTGTTTCAATCAGGTCTTCCTGCATGTTCACCGACATATGTATCAATGCTGTTCTCTAAACCCCAGCTACACAATTTCACTCACCACAAGAAGTCAAAGTGTTTCCTGTTAAATCTCCTCAAGCCATACTTTCTCCGCTGAATTTACAGTGTGTGTCTGTAGTAGGGATAAAAGGTCAATATAGCTTTTTTTTTAATCTTTCTGTCACTGCACTTTTAAGACAGGAAGGAAGGGTGGACTGGGCAAAGACCTGGCTCTCAGGGAACAGGAAGGGAGGGAAGTCTAGCCAGCGTGTTGGTTACTCAACCCTTTCATTTACTGGAAGTAAGTCCAGGAGTGAGATGAATTCTAGCTCTGTGCTGCTCCTGAAAGGGAGTGCACAGATGTACAAATATGTCCCTGTTGGACAAATGATCATGTTCTTCCATCATAAATGAACTACCTACTGTATACCTTAAGGATAAGAAAGCTGCACAAGTAGGGAGCTGTTTAAAACTTGTGTTCACAGAGCATTAAATATACTTTATGTAAATGCTTAGTATTTATTTTGGACTAATATGTAAGAGTAAATTTAATGAAATTCTGCCCAGATAGCTTGCTACAATTTATATACTTTCATAAAAGTCTTGCTATATTGTCAAAATACAAATACAAGAAATATTTCCACTAACAGCAGATAGATGCTGATTTTTTTTTATTTCACATACGAATTTCTATGTGCTTTAACAGCAAATATATTTAAAACTGCATTCAGTTTCCAACAGTATCATTAACTTCTTGGCTCTGCATTCTTTTCATATAACATATATGTCAGTATGTACGTTAAATGTGCATTTTATTGCCATTTTAATAATGCAGAATTGCAGTACTTCATTTTTGCATAGTGTTGGTTTATTTTTTGTAAATCTATCATTTGCACAGTGTCTGCATATTCTGTCTTCAAATTGTTGTTGTGTAGATTCCAAATAATGGACATAAGGAGTGAGATTTTACACCTTCTATCAATGCTACTGAAAGCAGAATTTGATAAACATTGTCTTAACTATATCTAGGATACCCATAGCCATGCGATAATGTCTTCCCTTCATTCAATGTTTTTTCCACTTCATGCATGTCTATAACAAAGCCCCATAACTACAAACAATACAGATTCAAGGAAAGTAACAGCTGCAATGAAATCCTTGTTCCTTGAAATCAACAGCAAAACTCTCATGGACCACAGTTAAAACCAGGATTTCACATGCAATATATGTAATTAAGGAGATAAAGTTAACATTTCTTATTCCAAATACTCTAGACTGGGGCAGGAGGAAGGTGGAAAGATGAACTGCACTACGCTCTAATCAAAGCAGCTACATGCTCTAATTCTGTTGGACCCTTTGAGACAAAACTTTTTTTTCTGCTAATGATAGATCTCTAAATAAGTCAACTCTAATTGAAAAAAATGTAAAATGAAACATTAGGAGCAAATAATGCAGTTGTGTTTGTGTAGATCTCCTTTCATTCACATCTCTGTTCTAAGCATTTTTTTGGACAGTCCTATGATGTTAAATGTCCCTGGGAACTGTTAAAACTGATATCTATTAAGTTGGACTCACTCACTAGTTTTCACTTATGGCCTTGGTTTTGTGAGTGAAGAAACCGGATTTTTTTATACCATAATTTTGTAGATGGGTAATTTCACCTAGCTTGCTTATACATTAGCAATGTTCATGGCTGTTTTACTGCCAGGATAACAGTTTACATGAAAACCCATTTATTTCTAGTGTGCAGCAAGTTCAGTTCTGAACGTGTTACCTTTAATTTTGCCTTCAGGTTTACTTCTTTACACACTGCTTCAACCCAGACCTCTGATCAGGAGCCAAGGGTTGCTCTATGACCCCATGACCACCATTTCTTATACTTCCTCTACCACATGCCCTTCTGCTGGTGAAGAAGGACAATGTGTAAAATGGAGGGAAGGAGAAAACACAAAAGGGGCCAACTGCAGTGCTACTGCAATGATGACGACATCATTACTCCCTTACTACATCTAACAAATATAATATTGGAAGGGAATAATTATCAGCATGTCATTTACCACATTGAGGCTGTTATGAAAAAGGGACACTTAATCATTAATATGTTGCTTAGTGTCTTATTTATTTATATTTGTATTTTCCACATCTTTTATTACTACATTTTTATTTTCCTGTTTTTAGCTTGACCTATTTTTTGCTTCCATCTCCTAAAAGTATATAAAACATTAAATGTTTTTGCTTTCCAATCTGTGTTCTCCAACCTAATGCACCTCTAAGAAGAGAGCAGTATAACTAAAATGAGCACTAATTTTTGTGCAGTTTATGCTGAAACTCTTGCAACAGGCACCTCATATAGAGAGTTTCATATGAAAACTAACTCTTGCTGTTACGTTTTCACTTCCATGGCCAAAACTTTACACTAATTTTGTATTTTCATATGGAAAATGTCTGCAGGTTGGTCCACGATTACACAGTGCTCTTTTTCTGCCTCCAGTGTCGTCAGTTCACAGAACATTTATATACCATGGTAAGAACAGAAGATACTTTAGTAGGGGCTGAGAAAAGACTAATAAAAATGTTTCCTTGAGTGAGGATAAGCCTCCTGGATAATTATGGTTTTCTTCACCCTAGCTTTTGATCTGTTCATGTACTGCAACTTTACGGTTTCCTGTAATAGGAAGTTTGAGTCATAGTTCAGTAGTACTATGTTTAATAACATTTCTGTACTTGGGGACACAAAGCATGCTAGTGCTGGAGCAGTAATGCTCTTTGCCAATAGGCAACTAGAGTTGTCTAATCAAGAACTTTTAAAACATGATTTTAAATATACTATAAAGATATTTAAAACCATATGTAAAAACTGTTTCGTTTCCTGTATATATTTTCTTTATATACATGCACACCTAAAAAGGAAAATACAGTCAGTGTAAGGAATCCAGTTTGTTAAGCTAATGGTGAGACATTCTGCAAGTCAGGATAAGTAAGATTACTTCATACATTGCTCAAGATACTATTATGAGTTTGAGGAGGGTGATGCAATTGGCAGCCAGACAGAACCCACAGGACAATACTGTCTGCCTAACAGGAGGCACTGACACTACATCCATGGAGAGAAACAGCTCTGCCTGTGCACAGACAGGTCCCTAAACGCTGGATCCATCACCACCATCACAACTAGCACTGGTGCTTGAGAATGGGCAGGAAAAAATGCCAGTTCTCAGAGAGCCAGAGATAAAGCTGTTTAGGGAAAGTAAGCAATGCTTTCGGAATCGTTTTAAATCATTCGGGGGTTTCAATGTTAAACTTACTGCTGATTACTCTGGGTAGCTAAAGTTCCATTCTGCTCACTGTAAGTTACTGCAAAGAGGGGTTTTTGGCTGGTTTTTTCCACCTCTGAAGCTGACTTGCAAAAGGCAAATTTTAAATCAGGTCATGCCTTACTTTTGCTGCTTTTTAATTTACAGTTAGATGATGCAGCTCAGGTATTTTAAAGTGACTAGTGATCTGGTCACTTCAGCATCACCTATCAATTTCATTCAAATTGAACAGAGATAATTTTGATAAAGTCCAAAAAAGAAAATTAGGTTCCTTCGACAGTGTGCCATTTTTGATGCCTTAAAATTTAAAGTCAAAATTATTAGACACCCCTTGAAAATGTTTGTTCATGGGGATTCTCCCTCTTTTCCTCCTTCATTTCCATAGTAAAAATGCCAGGAATGTAATGTGTGGCCTTTCCTGTTTTTGCTAGATGACTTTATGTGTTCCAGGAATAAATACCGAAGCTTTCCACACTTACCTGGAAGAGAGAACCAAGGGATTATCATAGAATCATAGAATAGTTTGTATTGGAAGGGACCTTTAAAGGTCATCTAGTCCAACCCCCCTGCCATAGGCAGGGACATCTTCAACTAGATCAGGTTGCTCAGAGCCCCGTCCAACCCGACCTTGAATTTTCCAGGGATGGGGCATCTACCACCTCTCTGGGCAACCTGTGCCAGTGTTTCACCACCCTCACTGTAAAAAATTTCTTCCTTCCATCTAGTCTAAATCTACTCTCTTTTAGTTTAAAACCATTACCACTTGTCCTGTCACAACAGGCCCTACTAAAAAGTTCAACCTGGTCTTCCTTCATCCTATAGGCTCTTTAAATACTTGAGTTAACTTAAAAACTAAAACTTAAATGGCTTGTCTTAAAAGCACATGCCACCTTACCTGGATTTTAGTATCATGTGGAATCATGATCTTCAGAGTTTTCCAGGTAGACCACACCTTCATTTTTAATATCAGCAAAATTACCCATATTTTCGTGACAACTTTATAATACTGACATGTTATCATTTGCAAAACAGCTTTATAACACTGAGATGTACTGACTTAATCTACCCAGTGAAACATGCCAAGTAAAGAAAGACTTTTTGCTCTATCTTTCTGTCTCTACTCTAGCTGAATTCTATCAAATCTCTACGATGTATTTCAAATTTTTGAATGAAAATCTAACTACAATTTAGCCAAACTAAAATGATTTCGGTAAGTATGAACCATGTTCTTGAAAACAGGCTCATCAGTCAGGTACTTTTTAGGTCTCATCTCCCAATCACAGGTGTACATCAATCCCAGGAGCACTAGAACATCTCAAAATGATTGTGCTGTTCAGGCAGAAAACCAATGTGAAACCTGAGAAGGGAAACATTCCCAACAACTCAGGCTGAGGCAGACAGATAGTCTGAAAATTTCAATATCTGAATAGTTTTTTTGGAAAATTTCAAGGAACTGAAAACAAGTTTTTCTGACAGGACGTCTAAGGCTACCTCAGCTCTATACTTTTCTATCAACTCTACGCATAGGTAGGACTCCAGATATGCAGTTAGAAATATATACAAATGTTGTGTATAACAAAATTTGCCTTTGTTTTTTATCAGCATCTGTTTTTTTTCCCCCAGCATTCAGAGTAAATTGCTACAGTTGTTTCACTCTAGGAAGCATTCGCTGTTCTCATTAACTGATCTTGGCTTAATTGTTCAATTTTCTGTCTACCTACCAATAACTAGGAGAAGCATAAGTTTTCTAATTCTTTCTTGTAAAGAGCCACAATTTGCTTAACCATGAATATTTAATCAAGTCACGGCCACCCATTATGTGTTTGTTTAATACACTGCAGGAACAGTATCACAAGGTTTGCATATGGGTGGCTTAATTTGTTTTTCTTTCCCATTTATGTGTGAGACTCTTCCCACAGGAAGGAAAAAATATATACATATAAAATTAAGGTCAGAATACCACAAAAAATTTCATTAGGCAGCTAGGGACTACTCACAAAGCAGCCTCCTTTAGCCCACAGTGGCTGGCTCCCCTGCGGGGTCCCTCTGTGATCAGCGAGGCGGACAGGGCAATGCAGAAGTCCTACTGTTTGCCTCCTGCTCTGAACAGCCCTCCGAGCAGGCTACCTCTCACCAAAAAGCAGCTACAGAACAATCTAGAGAGCATCACTTTGTCAAGCTAAAATTATGAAGTGAGCCTTTGTGAACACCAGTGGGGTTCTCACAAGGTATCTTTGCTTCTGGTGCAATGTATCTAATATCCCAGAACACAAAAACAATGTGTTAAATTCATTTGAGATTCTGAAGTCCTACCCATACCTATCTCCTCTCCTGAAGTTAAGTTAATCAATATGGTACCTGCAGCTTATGGCATTAGCCACAGTTGCTTTCAGAGTTGTTGCTGTTGCTGCTGCTTCTGCTATGTCTTTCTGTCCTGTATTTCTGGCACTGCTGGCAGCACAGTGGTGTAGGCAGCCATGGAGTTAGCAGCAATGGCAACAGCAACGGCAGCTGAGGCAGGAATGGCGGAGCAGCAAATAACTTTGTTGCTTATAATACACCTTGAGTTTACCCCTCCTCCTTGTTGGGAGTGAGTTTTGGCATCCTTTATGCAAACTTAAACTCTTTAGCACCTATCTTTCTTTATTTCAAAATAGGTTACTTATGTAGGAATTTTTTCTAGACACTTTTTTTTTTAAGAAACAGACTGCTGACAAAAATTCATTCTCTTATACCATCATTAAAAAGTGTGTATATTTCTGTTGGTTTTATTTTTGTACTTGTCCCATGTCCCTTACATAATCAATTTATTATTCTAATGCCAGATATAAACTTCATTTCATTAATTACAATTTCATTGTTTTAGTAAATGAAATCTAATTCATGATACAGATTCTATTTTAGTTTTTAATTCTTTTTCCCTGCCATTTTTCTCTAATTTTTATTTACCTTATTTATCCTGACAACTGAATTTATGCTTAATTTTAAATACAACAGGTTGGCTCAGCCTACATGAAGTGCAGCATACATGTAAGTCATGCCGGGTCATAGCTACAGAGACAAAATAGACTGATGAGACTGATGGCAATGACAATGATTCTAAAGGCCCTCATATTAACCATAAGAAAAACCCCATAAAAGAAAGGCCGGGGGCCATGCGCCTGTTTCAAAAACCAGATATCCTGAAAAAATACAGTTTGCTTCGAAACCTCCACCAGGGGAAACAGCCAGGAAATAACACATGTGCCTAATACACTGTAAAAAGCAAGAAGTTTTATGGCAAAAAAATATTGAGCTTGAAAACGGTGGAAAAATCCTCCTAATTTAAAACCAAGAATGGTTAGGCAAAGCACTCATCATTCTACTAAAGTACATTGAAAGATACTGCTTTTGCAGTATTCAACAATAGCATAAGGACACTAGAGTGCCTTCCAAGTATTTGTCTTACAGCCTGAGGAATGGAAATAATATAATTTCAAGTGCCTTACTTGATCAAACTGGGGGTCCTCTCCTCGTTGCAGAGATTTGGTCAGTGGTTTCTCCTAAAAGAAAATGTATTAAATATGTATTACTTAAGATCAATACTATGATATATTCTGTCAACTCTACTATTATTTTTTTCTTAGATTTTTACTCACATAATTTGTCTCCTGACCAGTTTCATGCTGGAGATACTGTTTGTTTCATATGCAAAGGAGACCTCTGCACACATATGACCTAATACTGACAGACTGTCTTTAGTGTTTTTAGTGTTCTTCCAAGAAAGAAAAGGAGTTACTTAGTGCTCACATGGATGATAAATTCTTTCAGAATCCTAAAAAGCACCTGGTATTTCCTCTAATACATAACCAAAGAGCTCTATTTAGCCACATGATGTACCTTCTTGTTATAATACTACCAGGCCATACAAACATGATCATAGATATAGTGCATCATCCAGCACATACTGAAGGAAAGGTGATTTTAGAAGAATCAAATACCATAGAGTTCATTTTTAAGGAAGATAACTGTGGAAAAAATGGCTGTATTACTCATTAAAAAAAAAAAAGGCATTTTTTAAATGGAAGCAGATTTTCAGGAGACGTTCTCAGAGTACCTGAGAAAGCCAAGGAGAACTGCCCAACTCTGAAAGAGTCACCACATGGGAACATGCATTCACCTTTATGGCTTTTTTGCCAAGCAGGCTCAATTACTGAGGCATGTAGACATACATAGTCTGGTATTCTAGATATATGCAACAGTATACAAAATATGACTCTTCTAAACCACAATGAAAATAAACAATACACGAAGGCAGATGACAGTCTGAAAAACACTGTCACAATTCTGCACTGAATTGTACTACTGTTGCTGGTGTCTGAAACGTGCCAGCGCCTTATTCTTTTGTAAATCATGCATCTTTCTTCTCCTACAGCTGCAAGATCAGGGCTCTCCCACCAACTCAGCATGAGATTTTCTGTTCAGCTTTCAGCTAACTGTTACACTTATCAGCATCTGTTAATGTATCAGGCAAAATACCATCACTGCCAGGGGATGTGAGTTGCAAAACAAAGAAATCTGTAAAGCTGCTGAGATATTGGAACAGAAAGACTTGAGGGGGTCCAAAGATTTCTATTATTTAATGTTTCTCTCTGGAGAAAATGATGTCCAGTATAATCTGCTGACTGATTTTGAAATTAATTATGCTGATCCACTTGTAATGCCAGCTGGCAAGGAGGTTGGCTGCAGGGTGACTGCAGTATCCCCTGACTACTTACCAAATAGAAAAATAAACAAAATGTTTTCTACTGAGTCACTGATTTATCCAGGACAGTCATCAATATTTTTCCTTGTTATCTCTAATGTCTACAGTGACTCCTCCAGGTTACATTAATGGCACAACAACTATTAATTAGAACTTTATGACAGATTATTGGTCATGAACAGACACAGTAAAAACTTGTAGCCCAGAAACAGACACAACACCCCTTACCTGCAGTCCTCCTCCTCAATCAGTAACTTGGGGCTACCCTACCTAGTCGTGTCTCATGGGAGGACAATACTTCTTTTGTCTATTGGCGCACACTGAAAAGGACAATAGATAATCTTTCAAAAGTAGTGTTCAATTTATTTAAAAGATTCTTAAGTTTTCATGGGTCCTGGACAAATCAATGTCCTGAGAATTAGTGCAGATTAGGAAAAAAAAAAAACACCACACAATCTTTTTTTTTCTTAAATTTCTGATTCTGTTACAGAAGGCTTCTGTTACCACAGAGACATTTCTTAAGGTCTGTTTCAATAAAAAGGGCTTTGGCATCCAGAAGCTTTGCGTTCCAGTGCCCAACGCTGCAATGCTTGGCTTTCAGAGTAGTATCTAAAATCCTGCAGAAATGTATTCAGTGTTTCAGGCAGAAATGAGGTGTGGGATTCCTCTTCACAGGCTGATCTATAAGGTGGACACAGCTAAATGAGACAAAACATGCCCTGGGAACCCAGGTCTGGAACTGCAATCCTGAAAATGTCCTAATCACCTGTTGCCTGTCTCTGGAAGCACACACACCTCACAAATACTTCAGTTTCTGACAATGATATTCCCCAGGGACTGTGTTTCTAAGTTAGTAAAGATCCCTCCATTTTCACAAGGCCATACAACTCGTCTCTTGCACTGTTATAGGCGACTAGACCAAACTGTGGTACATTCACCTAAAGAAACCGTTCACAAGCCATGCAACAGACTTGGTCGCAGCAGAAGGCAGCTCTGGGATGGAGACCAGCCAAGGACACCTAGCAAAAGCCAGGAAGGGTTCTGCTGCCTTAACGTCTCAATGTCTCCCGTCTAGGGCTTTAACTGAAACCTTTTTCTTCCCTTCATCCCACTCTGTACCTACTGCTGTTCTGGCCGCTTCCCTTCTCCTCACACTTTTACAAGGCAGCAGCTGCTGCTGCAGCTGCTCTGCCTCTTCTTCATCCCCCTGTTCGGGTTGCTGCTGTTGCTGCTTTTTCCTCGACTCTTTCAAAGTACGGCTCTGCCACTGACTCTGCCTGCAGCGACTGCTGCGACGGCTCAGCCCGGCTGGACCCAAGCTGACCCCGTGAAGCCAAGTGTCTCTGCACATCATATCCCCGTTCCGGGAGCAGGGTGCCCACGTCAGACCAACTCATTGCACCCCTGCAGTGAATGGCAATAACCACAGAAAATTATATTTGGGGCTTGGAGATTTGAGAAAACTCAAAGTAGAAGTTATTACTATTTACTGTATTACTATTTATTATTACTAATGATGAGTACTGAATAGATAATGAACTGAATAAAGATAAAGGGCCAGATACAAATATGTTTTTTGGTGTCTAAGTGCTCCTAAAATATAAAAGGATGATCGCTTGCATGATGAGTGTAACACTGACGCTGCTGAGTAAATTCAAAGATAGCTCAACTACATATAGGTGCTTCAAGTGTTCTTCGAAAACAGCATTTTTTATTTATGCAATAGATAATTTCTTCTCATCTACTGTAAACAACTTGCCTATTCTATACCACTTAGTTCTAATATCCTTACAAATTTTCAAATTTCATTTTATGCAGTATTTTCAACATCATTGCTATGGCAGCTATTATATAAAATATATTTATACTCATGGTAGACATTTTCATTATATACCAAAGGTTCAGGACTGGCAAAGACAAGGTTAAAATGTGTAATAAAGTGAAATTGCCTCTAAGTAATAGATTCCATAGCAGTCTATTTACCCTGGAGATACACTTATTTAAAAGTTTTTTAAAAAAATCTTAAAAATGTTTTCCACCCTCAAGGCACTATTTTATTTATTTTCTTGCCCACCCAATTCAGAAATGGCAAAGAGGCCCTTTTATATGATGAGTTGACTCTGTTTGAGTCTCTGTAGCTGTAATACATTCTACAGAAATGTCTTCCAAATCTTGGATGAATAGGTAGGCTGAATTTGGAGCCAAAGCCTACAACCACAAAATATGAATAAAGAAAGTTTTGATTACTCTGAAAGAGCCCATAGCTTTCTGGGCTATAAAAAACATCAGAACATTTCAGAAGAATGGACTCTCAATAATAACATTTCCATTTTTAATCACTAAGTTAAACACCCTTATTTCTTGTTTGAAGTGCTGCCTTCAATTGTATACTCTGTATTTGTTCACGCTGGAAACTCCCATGATATGAATACATGTTAGAATAAGCAGTAAAGATCAGCAAAGACAATTTTGTATTTAATATTTGAAACCACTGTTTTTCAATAAAACTATCTAAACTTTTTGCATCGCCAATGCTGACAAAACAAAATGCTCACCTAAAAATTAATTTCCTTCCTCTGCCTCATTGCTGTTGTGAAAACATTAATAGAATATATTAAAATAGAATACATTGAATATGCAATGGCAAATATATATTTTATCACATTTGCATGCATTAACTAAATGTCATATTTACAAGTTATCTAAAAAATAACATATCAGTCAAACCCCCTATTCACATAGACACACTAACACATTTCTCCAAAGACTGTCAGCTACTTTTAAAGGTTAATATATTAATTCTTTTTCAGGGCTGCTATACAAATATAATTGGGTAAATTTACACAGGAATAGCTTTTCTCGACCACCTGTCACAGAACTGAGTGCTCAGGGAAACATGAAAACTAAAGGATGTTGTAGTGCCTATTAAGCTTCACTATGTCACCATGTTACAATGATATATAATGCCCCTTAAAGTTATTTCTAACCTCAGCAACCATTAGGCACGTTACTCCTACTGAACTATGACTGGATACTGTATTACTGACTGAGATAAAACCCTTCTTTTTATAAGAGCATGGAGGATGCAAGGATATTTTGATACAAAATGTAACTTTTGCACTGCATGCTAAAAAGCAGCCACACGTATTCTACTGAGTAGTCTGCTGGGATGGAAGAGTTATCAAAAGGAAACAGCAGAAGAATGGACCTTTTCATGTAAAATGGAGTAGACATAGACCAACTACTACAGCTAAAATATATATAAAATGCATGTAAGCGCAATCTTAAGAACCAAAAAATCCCCAAGTGTAATTCTTTCCTGCTTACAATGAATCATCACGTAAGCCCCAAAAGAAAATGAACATCTCTGTATTACTCAGCAGGAAAGGAAGGTGGTGTTTTGCAGGAAAAGGTCTGCTCCAAAAATAGCTGGATCAAAGATGCTAAATTTTTAATTTTGCCATTGGTTATTTTGTACATACAAAGATCCGAAAATGTATTACTGTCAATCTTGCGCTCATGTGGTGTGTAAACCATTATCTGTATCATCTAGGAGGAAACCTCATGATGCCAATTTGCTTCTGAAAGCTGGGCATGCGAAACTATTCCACAGAAGAGCACCCACCCTTCAGATGCAGCTGACCTACCAGCCAGTTGCCTCTGAAGGGGACGGTTTGTCTGTCTGGTCCCTGCCTCCATTTCGGCTGTGTGCTCCTGCCTCCTCCCTCCCAGAACGGATCTATGCTGATCCTGCATTGAGCAGGTTCATGCAGCTGAACTTGCAAATATTTACTTCTG